ATCCCAGCTGTCGGTTCGCTCTACAGATAATATCGTTGTAGTGCGATCGGAAGGTCAGCGCTGAATCCAGGATGACACCAAGATCACGAACTTGAAGACAACTCTCAAGGGACTGACCATTAATTGAATAATCATACGTAATCGGGTTGAAGTTGCGATGAAACGATATAACGTTACATTTGTGGATGCTCAACGTCAGCATGTTCCGGGTGCACCAATCAGCAAAACTATTCAGCAGCAATTGTAGAGCATAGCAGTCCTCGATACCTTTAATGATCATGTATATTTTGACGTAAAACACACGACAGCCAGATGGTAGTGCGAGAGAAAGCTCGTTGATGAAGAGTGAGAATAACAAAGGACCCAGGTTGCTACCCTGTGGCACGCCAGATAAGTTTGACAATTGTTCCGAAGATTCAAATCTGATATTAACGGTGAGGCTACGATCCGTAAAGTATGATCCAAACCAGCTAACAAGATCCGAAGAGACACCAATTCTTCCTAGATGTTTCAGTAATATTCCGTGGTCAACTCTATCGAAAGCTGATTTCAAATCAGTGTATGCGGTGTCGATCTGAGCACGACCATCAATGTTGCGTATGCAAAACGAAGTAAACTGGACGAGATTGGTAGATGTTGATCTTTTGGGGTTTTCAATTATAATATACGACGATCTTCAGCTCTTGATCCGTCTTAAAAATGTCCGTAGGAGACAATATCAAAGAACACGCAATCCTGCCATGAAAGTTATCTGGCGGAATTTGCAAAAACAATTTAAAAAACGATTCTCTGCCCTGAGGAACAAAAGTTTTGAAAATAATGTTTCTAAATTAGACCTGAGTTCCAAACTCTTTTGGAAACTCGCAAAAATTTTGAAAAAAACCTCAAAAACCTATTCCAGCGCTTAAAGAAGATGGTAAAATTTTGATCACAAATTTGGAAAAAGCTCCGAAACTTGCTAAGCAATTCAAGAGTTTCCATAACTTAAGTTGGGTCATACTAGTCCTATTGAGAATCAGTTTAAAAAGTTATCAGTTAGTAAAAAGTTTCATAATATGAAAGATCGAGGTGATGATGGAATTTTCTATATCCTCATCAAAAAACTCCCAGAGAGTACCTTGTATTTCTTGGTAAAATTATTTAACAGATGTTTCCATTAGGCATACTTTCCTGATAAACGGAAAACAAAAGTTGTTCCAATTTTGAAGCCGGATAAAAATCCAGCTGAAGCTTCTAGCTACCGTACAATAAGTTTGCTTTCTTCAATAAGTAAACTTTTTGAAAAGATAATTTTAATAGAATGATGCTTTACATCAATACGAACTCAATTTTTGCAGATGAGCAGTTTGGATTTCGCCATGGGCATTAATCTACTCATCAACTCTTAAGAGTTACCAATTTAATTCGTTCGAACAAATCTGAAGGCTTCTCAACTGGAGTTGCTCTTCTAGACATAGAAAAAAACATTCGACATTGTTTGGCATGAAGGTTTGATTGCTAAATTGAAAAAGTTTAATTTTCCACTTTACATTATGAAATTAGTTCAAAATTATTTAACTGGCAACTCTGCAGGTAAATTATCAAAATTCCAAATCTGGTCGACTACCTGTTAGAGCAGGAGTTCCTCAGGGTAGCATTCTTGGGCCTATATTGTTCAACATTTTCACTTCGGACCTCCCTGATTTGCCTCAGGGTTGCCACAAAACTTTGTTCGCTGATGACACAGGCATTTCGCTAATGGAAGTAGTCTTCGTGTTATTTGCAGCAGACTGCAGAAAAGTTTAGATATTTTCTCTTCTTATTTACAAAAATCGAAGATTTCTCCCAACGCTTCCAAAACTCAACTTATAATATTTCCACATAAGCCTAGAGCTTCCTTTTTGAAACCTAGTAGTAGTCACATAGTCACTTTTAAAGATCACATTGAGGGCATTCAAGCCAAATGTAACAAATATATAAAATGTTTATATCCTCTTATAAACAGGAAATCCAAAATTTGCCTGACGAATAAACTTCGAATATTTAAACAAGTTTTTAGATGGGAGTCGAGTTTCTAACACCTTTGGATACGGTTGTGTGTTAAGTTCGTTCTCTGTTTTGTGCGTGCATTCGCTTTCATAGTTTTCGGCTACATTTGCCGGATTAGCGCTGGCACTCTGCCTCCCGGACGGTTATACGTGTGTGAGTGTTGGTTTCTCGCTTTCCGAGAAGTTTTAGAATCGATAAAGAAAACATGATTCATCATGTTTGCAAAATTGGCGTGGTTTGATTGTTTCTCCCGGACCAGAAATGTGTGGCATCGCGACTGAAAAATTTAATTTCTGTTTATTTACGCGATGATGAGAAGTGCGCTGATCTATTGTCAGGGTTTTGCGATGTGCATTGCTTTGCAGCTTTAGTTGGCGGCGGTGGCTCTTCTTGACCTTCTACCCCCTGAGTAGTTAGTGTGAATAAGGGCGTCTATGTGATGTTTTGCTGTACCTGTTGTGGACATTTAGTGCATCCAGGTTAGGGTAGCCCCTAAAAAACAGATTTAGTTGAATAACTTTTTATACGTTCATTTCTCGTAAAAACGTTGTTTTGGATACATTTAGAACTTATGATGACGCAACCATGTTGCTATCTTTGTTTATTAGAAAGTTAATGGATATATTCTTCGATTTCTTTTTTTGAATTGTCAATATCTCTAAAATGAGCAAACCAGTTTCCAAACTTTAGATTTCATTTGAAAGATCGTGTTTTTTTTTTCATTTTTGGTGGAAAAACGGTGAGAGCGTTTTTTGTTTTAAGTTTTTTATTTTATTTAAAAAAGTCATTTTTTTACCAAAAACTAGCCATAACCTTCCAAATAAAGGAGATATCAACTTAGTTGCTTCAGCAAAAATATGCGTCATAAAAAGTTATGAAAGTATTTAAAACAAAGTTTCTTACAGAAATGAACTTATAAAATGATATTTTAAGAAAGCCGATTTTCTAGGGGCCACCCTAACCTGCTTGTTTAAAATAAGTATAAATAAGAGACAAAATATTGATAACTTAAGCAAAATTGATTAAAATTGATTATTATACCCAATTAATTTGGGTATAATTAATAAAATATTATTGATTATTAATTGGCCAAAAAATACGAAGAAACTGTCTTCCTAAATACGGCTTGAGTGATTTCGAACGATGAGAAGAGCTCTAGGATTAGTTTCATGTGTTTACCTCTTTATAGGATGATTTTGATCCTCTGGAAGGCCATTTCGTGGACCCAAGAGTCAATTTTCCGATCACAACTTCGAATTCATATCAATAAAGATGTCAATGAATGGTTTTGAAAAAAAACGTAGAGTTTTAAGTTTCATGAATAACATACATAGCATGCGCCGTGTGGCGGCACCTTTAAACGGTACATTGAATCTGCAATAGCCGATGATAGAAAACCTCCGCATATCATTAATCTCCATGGAACTCTCGGTATAGCCCTTCCTTTAGATTTTGTTCTGGGCGCCGGAAGTATGTACAATCCTACTCCAGAGCTTTTGTCATTTTTCTGTCGTCTGTTAGTGGCTGTATGTTATGAAATGCAACCTTTTTTTTCATAAAAAGCAGTTAATATTCATATTTGCATTACTTTTCATCTATATTCTAAGTAAAAACGCACACCAAGTACAATAATACAATCATTCTTAACAACAAAATAAGCAAAATCCAACCACCAGTGCCAGCATAATATGCATGTGTAATGCCAGAAACTTAATTCCATCAACATAGAAATCTACACACAAATATAGCATACACTTCTCGAACCGAATGCCTTATTCATTAAACGTTCTTTTCTCTATCTTAAACGAAAGCATGGCACAGTTGTTTGCCGCTTTCCTATATCTAACCTAAATACATGTATGTGAAGGGAACGTTTTCTAATAGATTTGCAATTCATTCTGTTCATGTTCATTGGCCATGCAATTCAGTCCAAGTAAACATCCTTTCCTGCCCTCATCCCTCTTACTTGCAACCCTTTTCATCATGCGCCAGATTCCTAGCTGATACGCATATAAATGTCGCACGGAACCTGTGCAGAGTGCAAAAAGCTCTGCCATAGTAAAACATATCGCTTTTCCACTCGTTAAAAGTTACTCCTAGTCTTCTAAAAGTGGAAGCTTCTTTTTAGAGCGAAAACACCGAGAACAGAGTGAGTTGAATATAACAGCAATAAAATAGAAATAAATTTATAAATTAATAAAAAGTCTGCGCAGTCGCAGTTTGCAAATCCCGGAGAAATGTTTCAAGATTTCCCTCAGAGACCGAGAGGGTACCTCTACGACGTACCTAACTGGCCGCCTGAGAGGTGCAAAAAGATGATGCGGTTGCCAACCAATAATAAAGAAGGGTAGATAACATTTTCAAAACGACATCAATTAAATACCAGTATATGTATTAATTGTATCATGTATTTATGATGATGGTGGTGATGGTTGGAAAAATGTTTCGCATCTAGTTGCCTGCCCTAGTTAAGGTTCAAAAAAACAAAAGCCTGCTACGGCTACGCACAGTTTATTCGGCCTGCCTAGATAATTTTCGATGCGTTGTTTAAACTCTTTTGTCAACTAAATACTCGGATGAGTATGGAAATATATTAAACTTAATGACCGTCATTGTTTATTTTACACACATTGAAACGAATATGAAAAGTTACGACTTGTGTGTGCATGTGTCAGGCAGAGGCCATTGGAAGGTATTATCAGCCCAAGGCAGGAGGGTTGAAAAATACAACCAAAGTATAATAACAAACGAACAGAAATAGAAGAAGGTAAAAAAGATTAAACAAACAATAAAATTCAAAAGAGCGAACGAACTGCCGGCTATAGTAGAAGTGCCGAGACTCTTTTATTATTATAATACTATACAGCCCGGGAGTGTTCACAGTCGGGTCCCCGAGTGTAGGGAAACGGTTTACGAACGAGATATAATATAACTTCAGTCAGTCTACTTCTAGTCTTTGAAAAGTGTCGAACAAATATAGTGGAGAAGAAGTTGCTAACTGAAATAATATTATCGATCGGAAAAATAAAATCGTCGGTTTGTGGTACACTACTGAGAGAATAGAACAGATAGAAGCAGTCGAAGTCGCACACATATCTAGTTGTTTGTTATAGATGTTTACATGACTAGCTTGTCTCCTCATTCACAGTGCTTTATAATGTGGGGAGCAAACCACATGAGAGGAACTGAACATATTTAGTTCACTTATTTTCGATTCCGATGTTAGATCTAGATTAGAAGCCGAAGAAAATTGAACGGTTTCATGAAATTACACAACTCGAGGTTGAACTTTAATTCAGTCAAGTCTGTGCAACAGTGCGGTCGTATGGGTTGCTTCGATCGGTGCCGCTGACAACAACGGAAATCATTCTCTCTGTGTACGACGCATCATTGTGCCACGCGGTTTGTTGACATCGCGCGCGTAGATTGTTTAAAAGTGCTATAAAAAGAGTCTTTCATTCTTCGCGCCCGCCTGGCCTCGTTCGTTATATATAATAAACTAACCTACAATCGCGAATGCTAATGTTACTTTTTTCTCTTATTTAATTAAACCAACCAAAGAATAATTTCCATTTGTTTGCTTTATCGTTTCTTTACTTTGTTGGTTGGTATGTGCGCGCCTTCGACGAAAACGTATGCGTACGTTTTCACTTGACTTTTTTAGCTTAAAAATTTTCGCCTCCCAACGCGATTTGCTTTGTAACGCTGCGTGGCTGTTTGTTGACACACTTTTTTTTCTGTTAAGTTGTTTGCGAGTTTTATGAGAACACTTCTAAATGATGGAATATCCGGCTGTTTTTCTGGAGCAGCAACTCGTCACGACCAGTCTCAGTCCCATGATCAATGGTCAACCCAAGGACGAATTTGCTTTCGTTGATGTCCTAGAGGTTTTTAAACGAACCCCCTTGCTCGTAATACCGTGCGTACTAAGTAATCCTATCTCTGTCTCACCTTTTTTCAGAAAGATGAAAAGCTATGCGAATATTATCGCCGGATGCCGGTGCTGTACGACAAGAGTCACCCGCACTACAAGTTCCAGTCGAAGAAGGAGAAGGCCTGGCGGGAGCTGAGCCGACTCTGCGAGATGAACGTGGACCAGTGCAAGAAGCGGATGACGTACTTCCGCTGTCGATTCACCGTCGAGCGGCGGATCATGAAGAACGGGGTCAACTGTAGCGAGTGGCCACTGCTCGATAAGCTCAAGTTCCTGAACAAACACATCAAGATCCGGAGGCCGCGAGCGCCGAACGGGGACGTAGAACCGGACACGTGAGTTGAATTTGTTTAGTTTTTCAATTTAAGTTAAGTTGATATATCGACACTCGATTCTGTTTTTACGCGATTTTAATTTGTTTTTTCGATTATGTCATCATTTAGGATGAGTAAAGAAATGTCAATACAAACATATTTGTCTTTAATTTTTTTTCTGATTTTTTGAAACAAGTTTCATTAATTTGGTTGCAATTTAAGATCACACGATCCAAATACGAACGAAAAAATCGCCTAAACCAGAATTGAGTGCGCCCAAAGTTGTTTTAAAATGCGAGCATCTCTAATGTTGGCCTAGGGTAGAGCGCTACTTTGTCGTAATCGCCCATTCCGTTCTATCGATCAGAAAAGATCAATAATATCAATGATTTCACCGTGCACAAATCAATAATAGGTTTGTTCCGATGTGTTAGTTCATTAGCTACAACATAAATCCTATTAGAGCGCATTGTATGAATAGCGTATGAAGCGCTCCTAGCGAATCCCCTTTTTCTACGTTTATCCGTAGGACGAAGAAAATCTAATGGCGTTTCAATGCGTTTGGACGGAATTGAAACATGTAGGACGAATTTAGAATCAAGAAGCAGTATTAGATTTTAAACCATATCTCGACAATTTGCGACTCTTTATCAAATCCAACGGTACGTATGGAAAGGTAAATAAAATTAGAAGTCATATTTGACAGAAATATTCCATTTTTTGTTCAGACCCGTTCAAAAAAGAGAGGTAAAACGCGGGTTGTGCTTAGTAGGACGGAAATTAGATCAAAACCCCTATGGATCATTCGATTCAAACAATATTTTCTAACCGTTACTCACTTATTTGTCACCGTGTTAGAAAAACGCTTTCGTCACTTGTGACTTGTGAAATGACTCGAAAGTTGTACACATATCACTTAAGATTCACAATTAACAACACACTAATCGATGCCACGATCACGAACAATGCAGTGCACATTGGCGTAGCTAATGGGGTGCCAAGGGGGTCAGGCCCCCTGCAGAATTATTTAGGTCCCCTCCAGGAATTTTGGGTGTTTTTCATACACCGGTATTTTGTCAATCAGTTTATTTTAATTTATTTTTATGAATGTCTACTTTTCCTAATGTCAAAGACATCATATCAAGAAGACTGGCAACTTTGCCAGAATCCAAGCGACAGATACAATAGCGCTGCGCTTGAGTGAAGGTGGAAGCAACGCATAGAAAAATGAGCAAATACACAAACCTTTCTTCTGAGGATGTAATCTTTGCTATCAAATTCGTTCGAAGAATTTACCTTTGAGCGGCAGATGACGCGATTGTACCTGTCTCATAGCGTTCGTATGAGAAAATGGAAGAGTTGCCAGTCTTCTTGATTTGTTGTCTTCGCTAATGTAAAGACTAGAAGAAACAATGTCGAGCATTTATACTATACTAGCTGAGTGTTATATTTATATCATACTAAACTTAGTAGAAACTCTGGGAACATCATAGAGCTTCATAAAAAAATCCTAGAAACTCAGGGAGCTTTGGAAAAGTTCAGAAAACTGCGTAAAAGTGGGAAATTTATTTAAGTGTTGGGATCTTCGTAGAAGTTAAACGCTTTTTAATTTCAGGGAACCTCATTATTGTTCGGGGATCTTCATATCATATCAGGACATTTTTTTGAAGCCTCATGGGCTTGGAACAGTTCAGGGAATTACGCACAAGTTCATGACATTCCATACGTGGAACTTTCTGGAAAATCTACGAGAAGCGTAGAAGTGCAGCAAACTTTGTGGAAATTTTTGGGATTTCGTAGCATTTTGACGTGCGCCGATCAAAATATTTTCGGCGGCGACGACGTACCCGAGCAGGAACCGATAGCTAATCGATAAAAAATGAATATCTTAATGTGGTATGATAGCAGATTTTGGTATGCTTGTGGTATAAAACCTTATTTTGATATTATTCAGTTATCAATTTTTTTTTGTAAAATATGAAATAAATACCAAATCAACAAAATGTAATCTTTCAGTTTTTAAACAATAACACCTAAAAGAGTTATTGAATTGGTATTAGAAGACCTTCAAAATAACAAATTTGGTATTCTGGCGTCTAAAAGAGCGTCTGCTATCCGTTTGTTATTGTAATAACTAAATTATTTATTAGTTCGTTATTCGAAGAACATTTTTGGGGTATTATTTTTGGTATTTTACCTCTTATGTCAGCCTCACTAATACCATATTTAGGTTGCCAGTTATGCTATTCTCATACCTGAATTTGGTACTAATAAGTTATTTTTTCCTGCTCGGATATAGCGGCGTTGGTCGGCGTGAGTTTATTTTTAATGATTTAGGAAAAAATACTTTCCAAACCAATCGCACATGGACAAAAAATGCTACCCACATTTGAGTTCAGATTACTCAAAACCGCTACAATTTAGGTCACGCATAGTATGAGTAAATTTTCCGGCACTTTCCCGGGACTTCTCGAATATGGGGAAAATTTTAAGAAAATTCTAAACAGGTTAGAAGTGTACTAGTAGACAGTCTAAAACCAGAATTAGTTTTCCTCATATTCAAGAAGTTTTCCTCGGAAAAACGTCGGAAAATTTACTCATTCTATGAGTGACCCGAGGGGGACGACTCTATCTACGATGCAGAAAAGATTGTGTTTTGCTGTGACTAGCTGCACGCACGCTGAGTAGGTAGAAGGAAGATTTTTGTCGATTTTGAAGATTTCCTGCAAAAAGATGTAGCACGATGCAAGTAGATGCGAGAAATGAAAGATGATTTTTCGAAGATTGATTCGCTATTGTGAGATTTTTTGAGCATCTAGAATTGAGATTTAGATGTGTCGCCCCCCTCGGAGTGACCTACGTTTTCGCGAATTTAAGTAAACTGAACTCAAATATGAGTAACTCTTACTCAAATTTGAGGCGTTTTCATTGGCCGTGCATGCGGAATTGGTTTAGGAAAGTATGTTAAGTCCTTGTTAAAATTGCAGGGGTTGGAGTCGTATGGCAAAGTGTTACAACCCTTTTATTAAGTATAAGAAAAGTACGTTATGTAGGGGTGGATAGTAGGTATTTAAATGCAATCTGTTGCATTAAGTAACATTTTAATGGGCCCTAGGAATTATTTTGTTACGTTATTAATATGTTGATAGCGATAAATTATATGCTTTTATTACTCTGATACATATCTGAATCTACACGCATTGTAGTCATGTAACTTTTTGTTTATGTTTTTGAAGATGATATCTTTCGGATATACGTAGAATCCCGCACAACTTGTAAGAGATTAAAAATAAAAGTCGATCCTCTATTTTTGCTAATGCTGTAATTGTCATGAATAAAGATTGTTTTATCGACATTAAGGGCGGATGCATGACCGACATGCAGATACCGTCAGCCCAGCTATGTTAAAAACTCGTTCACTTGGCGTGCTGGTAGCGGGCACACACAATACCTTGCGAACCAAGGATACTGCAGCTTTCTAATTTTCCAAAAGCATAGAATTCTACGATGCAATCGGTGTAAATATGTACATTATTTGACAAATCTCAGGTAATCATGACAGCCGTAGGTCTCTTTATTCATTAAAATTGTTTTCAATAATCAAATGTCATGATTACCTGGGTTTTGTCAAATAAAGTAAATATTTACATTGCTTGCACCAAATAATATCTCCATCTACAACGTTGTTCGGGTATGACGTAATGCGCAGGATCTATAGGTAAGACAAAAGGAAACTCTAGTCCACTGTTTTATTCATCCGGTGTTTTTGTGGGATCGAGAGAAAGAAAGAGTCAGCTAGTTTCCTTCTGCCTCACCTTTAAATCTCGCTCATCGAGACGAAACCACTAAACTGAGATTTTGGACGTTTGATCAGCGCACCAAAACACTATCTCGAACAAGCAGCGTTGCCAGTATTCCAGATTTATCTGGATTATCCAGATATTCAGTCGTCTTGCCAGATACACAGACAGACCACGTGTATTCCCAGATTTTTTAAATATTTTCCAGATTTTCCCAGATTGTTTAAACAAATTGCTTCAAAAATATCACTGCAATTGTTTTACTCTCTAATAAAAAAAAATAATAAGTTAAACTTGCTACTTTAATTATTAAAGGTCATCAACGTTGGAAATTATTGCAACATCGTACATGGAATTGTTACAACATGTTTGCATGTTAATGGGTTGCAGAATCATGAAAATTGAGACATTTCTTAAAGATTATTGGCTGAAAAAACACTCAATTTTTTAAAATATCGGGCCTTTCTTATTTGGAATTTTTTGTTTTGATTTTGGCTATAATTTATTTTTTGGAATCCTGGACTAGAAAATTAAAATTTCAATATGGAGGAATTTTCATTAATTTAGAGAAATCGAAGATTGTCCAAGATAACAATAAATTGAGCTTTGGAAAAATAAGCAAGGCTTTTGCATCTAGACAACTACCAGGACTTTGAAGTACGTTTTTGAGATTTTGGAGTAATTAATTTAAGAATTAAATTTAAAATTAAAGGCATTTTTGAAGTATGCACTTGTGAATATTGAGTTAGCAGTCTGAATTACTTTCGAATTTTGAATTGCCCTAGAATTTCATAACTTGTAAGTATAGTGTGAAGTGAATTCCTTGTGAAATCATAGGAGGATTTCAAGTTTATTCTGAGTAGAGTTCCATAGCTCTGATGACAATTGCTTGGCGATTTTGTCAAGAAATTAAATATAACTCGGAATAGAAATCATAGAAAATGCTTAAGATGATACGTTCCTTAAGTTGATGGCAAATTCAAAGAATTGCTGGGAACATATGTAAGGAAATCTGGGAGGAATACAATGAGCATGCTGATGCGAATCGTGAGAATAATTCCAATGGAATTCTGTCCAAGGTTTCTAGGGAGATTCATTTTAATTAAATTTTAAGAAAGAGTGTGGCGGTCATTCTAAAGAGTGAAATTTTTAACAATTTTCTAAGGGAAAAAATGGAGACAAAATAATGCGAATTGTTGAGAATTATTACCAGTTTGAGGA